AGAGCAGAGCAGAGAAGGGAAGAGAACAGAAGAGAAGAGGTGTGATGAGTTCTGAGGAGGGGACAGTAGTGGCAGGAGCCCGCCAGAGGCAGAGGCAGGCCGCACCGAAGGTGTGCAGCAAGGAATGATAAGGCTCGGGACAGCAACTCTCATACACTAGAAACCGCCCTGAGAGAATGACTTGCCAACGACGGCAGAGTGATTTGGAAGTGTGCAAACTAGCACTTCCTAGTTACAGCTATGTAGTAAGTACTCTGTTGCCTGGGGCCTGAAGCCAGAGCCTTCGACCTGAGCTACATCCCCACCCCTTTTGTACTTTGAGGCAGGGTCTAAGTCACTAAGTGGCCCAGACTGAACTTAAATTCGTCATGCTCCTGCCTCAGCTTCCCGGAATTCGGGAATTACAGACAAGCACCACCAAGCACGGCTCCATCTTTCTCTTCTGATCGCCTCCAACCTCCTTCCAAGGCTGGGATACCCTACGCCATCCCGCTACCTGCCCAGGCTAGGGCTAGGCACCCCCGGGCCTCGCATGCCAACCCAATACCTTGTTGGCCAATTTCTTGTTCAGCTCCTCGGCGATGGAGTCGTTGAGCTTCCTGTCAAACTGCCACGGGGGAATCCGCACCGTGTCCACCATCTCCACCAGGACGAACATCCCGGCCTCCTCTGGGGGCTCTGGGAACCAAATACACGGTCACGCACCGGGGCTCAGGGACGTGGGAACCCCGATCCCCCTTGGTCCCCGCACAATCGCTGAGACCCCCACCACTACCCGCCAACAGAGGCCAGCAGCAGGGAGAGGGAGCTGGGTCTCGAGGGTCCATGCAAGCCATGTTCCATTACTGTGACGAAAGGAAAGTGAGAGCTGGAGAGAGGAGTTCTCCACGCAGCTCTTGGAGTGCCTAATCCGGCCACCCAGCTCCCGCCTGCACTACTCACAGGCGCCACGCAACGGGTCCCTTCACTCTGTATTACACGACACGCGTGAGGATACGAATCCCGTCGCTTCCGGAGAGCCGACCAATAGGAAGCCTCTTCCCGCCCCCTGACCCCGAGAGGGGCTGCTTATAGGCTCTTGCGCGCGGGACGAGGCGGGGCATAGAGATGGACGGTGTAGGACCTCCTTTAACAGGCTCAAAGCGGTCAAACCCCAGAAACAGGGCTTTCTGGTTGCTAGGCGACCTTTAGGTCCGTCCAAGCTAGGTCACCACTCGTGGGAACCGAGCCATGCATGTCCTCCTTTTTTGTCTAAGGCGTCCTCTGTATGCAGCCTGAGTCATCTTCCAAAACGCCAATATAGAGGTCGGGGAGATGGCTCAGTGGAATAAGCGTTTCTCTGGCAAGCGCAAGGGCCTGAGTTCAATCCCTGGTTCCGCCAAAAAACAAAAACAACAACAACAAAAAAAACCTCGCCAAGGGGCTGGTGAGATGGCTCAGTGGTCTGAAGCACCTAGTTAGAACAAGCTTAGCAAAGCACAGGGACCGCGGTTCAATCCCCCAGCACAGCACCACATGCCAGCCAGCCCCGCCCCCTGGTGGGCTGAGCTGGGCCCCCCCCCCACACACACACACAAATTAAAAAAAAAAAAAAAAACCTCGCCAATATAGGGCCGGGGAGGATAAATCAGTGGCTTAAGTTCCTGCCTGGCAAGCACAAGGTCCTGAGTTCAATCCCTGGTATCAAAAAAACCCAACAAACAAACAAAAAAAAAAACTGGCAATATACCCAGATGTGGTTGTAATCTCAGCACTGCAGAAACTGAAGAAGTATTTCAATTTTTTTTTTTTTTCCGGAACCGGGGATTGAACTCAGACCCTTACGCTTGCCAGGGAAGCGCCTATTCTACTGAGCCATCTTCCTGGCTCCCAAATACAGCATTTGTATGTAGTATTATTGTACAGAATTTGTTATGCTTTATTTTATTTTTGCTGTCCCAGGGATTGAACTCAGGACCCTGCACTTGCCAGGCAAGCACTTATTCTATTGAGCTATCTCCCTGAGCCTGTATCTCAAATTCAAATGCAGCACAGAGCAATTTAGCAATCTACCAAGACCCTATCATAAAATGAGAAATTAAGTTAAAAAGAGTGAGGGACTGGGGAAATAGCTCAGCAGCATAAGCACCTGCCTGGCTAGCGTAAGGTCCTGTGTTCGATGCCCCGTACAAAAAAAAAAAAAAAAAAAGAGCCAGGCCTGACGGTCTCGCACGTCTGTAATCCCAGCACTCAGGATGCGAAGGGAGGACAATTGTTGCGAGTTCCAGAACAGCCTGGGCTACAAAATGAGGTCAAGGTCAGCCTGAACTGCATAGCAAGATCTTGTCTCAGAAAGACAAAAACAGGGGCTGTGGAGATAGCTCAGCAGTCTAAACGCCTGCCTGGCAAGCTCAAGGACTGGGTTTAATCCCCGGCACCACATACTGTGGGAGCTGCATGGTGAGACCCTGTACCAAATACTTAAGTTTAAATTTTAAAAAATTAAAAAAAGACAAATAAAATTAGTTGGGTGAGATGATGCACCACTGTAATCCCAGCTGTAATCCCAGGGAAGCCGAGGCACAAGAATTTCCCTGAGTTCAAGGCCAGCCTGAAATATCTAATGAGAACCTGTCTCAAAAAAAGAAAAAAGTGGGTCAGCCAGATAGCTCAGCAGATTTAAGTGTTTGCTTAAAGCAACCAGGGGGGGCTGGTGAGATGGCTCAGTGGTCTAAAGCACCTACTTGGAGCTAGTTTAGCAAAGCACGGGGACCACCGTTCGCAGTGCTTGGGAGACTGAAAAACAGGAGGATCAGTATGAGTCCAATCTGTGTAGTGAGACCTTGTAGATCCTGTACTAAATACATTTAAAAAGAA